ATACAAAAGATATGTAAAATATTTCCTGGAGATAGAGTACTTCATTGCTGTCCGACGGAATAGGTTGACTTCTCATAACAAGAAATGGGGATATTTTATGAAAAATGTTACCCAGTCCACTTCCCAATATGTAGATTAATTGCAATTTGTAATGTACAAACCAGGTATGTAAGATGTTAATTTCAGTGCAAACTCCAATAATAGTTTATAAATACAAAAAAAAAAAAAAATATTTACTAGTGAACCACGTTCACGAGAACATCTGTTAACTACGGTATTGTGTGTTCGAAAGATGCATATTGCGGAAAGAAAACGACTTGTTTGGGGAAAGATACTTGTAGTTCGATGCGAAAGTAGTGTCATCGCATCGAAGTAAATATGACGGCATTGTTTACTTGCTCATTATAATATTCCAGCCCAGCTTGCGTTGGGCATACAGCGTTTGACTTTGATGTTACTATACTGTCTATAGGGCCCAAATTGATAGGGAGTAAAACATGGAAGGGAAAGAGCTGTCCATGCATTGACCAATCACGCAAGAGCTCACAAACACCAAAGAAATATTTGTTGTTGTACTTAACAAAGGGGTTTGGCACTAAAAACAGGCTTATAGGCTTAACGTTGGATTTAGATCGTGTTATAATCCAAATCCCCTAGAAAGAGTTGTAAGCACAAATTTTCATATGAATTCTGTTCATATTTCGGACATGCCAGGGATGATTTCATTCAAACTCAGGGTTCAATGTAGTTGACGGCAATAAATTGTTATTGTCATAATAATGCCATTATAGAATAGAATAGAATTGCTTTATACTTCCTTAAATAAAATAGACATTTCTTCTTTGGTTTTTAGCGTAGGAAAGCTTATTTATAATAAGTACTGAATTAAAGAAAGTGTATTTTTAAAATACAAAAAATTATTATATTTCAATGGATTATGAAGTTATGTATGCATAAAATAGAAATTAATTACATGTATTTAACAGGAACTAATGTGTAACTTCCAAATACTGTAAAACCATTTATTTTCACAGATATTTAATTTCACTATTTTGATGTTTTAAGCATAATAACTGTTTTAATTTTAAAAATTTGTCAAGGAAACATTGAGTTTTACTTTTATTTTACATGTCCATGTACTTTGGTTTTAGCAATTGTACTTATTAGATAAAATAGCAGAATTAATACCCAGTGAATAAGTAATGCATTTACAGTATACAACATATCATTTCCCAATAACATTGAACTTGAACTGGCAGCCAACTGTGAAATCTGGAAAATCAGTGTATACAGTGTATGTGTATGTATAATGTCATCATCTATTGTGTTTTTTTATGTAGCAAGTAGACTTGGTCTGTACGCTGAAGGTGCACTATCTGTATCAGGTGAAAACGTAGAGAACATGTCAATAGATCAGCTGGCCAGTATTATTAACTCAGTAAGTACAGATCACGAAAGTCACGTCTGAATTTTTTTCTGGCATTACATGTAACCAGTTATTTTATGATTCTGTTTTAATTTTATTCATTTCAGATTAGTGTGTTTCACAGAGTAAGCCCAAAGCATAAAGTAACAATAGTCAAGGTAAGAAAATATTTTATTTACCTACCAATTCAAAGTATTACACTAAGCAGCAACTGATTTGGTGATTGTCCCAGATAACCACTTTTGTCTCCTACCAGCCAAATATGAAAACTGTTTGCCTATTTGGACAATCCTGAAAAATCACAAAAATATATTTGACAACTGTTTTTATGTGGACAACCAGGGATATTTTTTTTTATTTTGACCTCCTGCTGTGTAAATGTGTATTAGAAAATTAGCTTTAAATCATGCATGTTATGAACCTCTGTTAGAATTGCATTCCTTGAGGTAACCTGGAAATCATTCTTACACACTGACAATTATTGAATTCTATATACCATCCAATATACCACAACAAATATGAAATGATGTAACAGACTATATATTCTCTCAGGCATTGCAAATGAATAACAGTGTGGTTGGTATGACTGGTGATGGTGTAAACGATGCCGTAGCACTGAAAGCCGCTGATATAGGTATAGCTATGGGTAAGACAGGTACTGATGTATCCAAAGAGGCGGCCGATATGATCCTTGTAGATGATGATTTCTATACTATAATGGCAGCCATAGAGGAAGGAAAGGCTATCTTTTATAATATTAAAAACTTTGTCAGATTTCAGCTGAGCACGTAAGTGGTGTAATGATTTCATTCTTGAAAACAATATATTATCTCTCACATTTTATTTTAAAATCTTTCATTGAAAATATCAGGATGCAATATTTTTAGCTCCGCTGTCGACTTTGTCGAGCGGAGCTTATCATATGAGTGATTGTCCGTCGTCCGTCGTCCGTGTCAATGTTTTACTTTTTCGACTTCTTCTTGAAAACTACAAGCCTAAATGCTTTGATACTTGGTGTATATGTACCTTGGGTAGACCTCTCTTAGGTTTGTTCATTTCATGTTGATATCTTTAATTCTCTAATTTTGGTGAATATCTTTGTCATTTTTGGTAAAAACTGATATTTTCGACTTCCTGTTAAAAACCGCAAGTGCAATTGCTTTGATATTACATCTATATGTACTACATGTGGACCTCTCTCAGATTTGATAATTTTGTAATGATATCTTTAATTCTTTAATTTTGGTGAATATTTTTGTCATTTTTGGTAAAAACTGATATTTTCGACTTCTTGTTAAAAACCGCAAGTGCAATTGCTTTGATATTACATATATAGGTACTACATGTGAACCTCTCTCAGATTTGTTCATTTTGTAATGATATCTTTAATTCTTTAATTTTGGTGAATATTTTTGTCATTTTTGGTAAAAACTGATATTTTCGACTTCTT